CTGCAAACTCTAGATTATGGCTCTCTGTCTGTGGCTCTCCTGCAAACTCTAGATTATGGATTTTGTAACGAAGCCCCGATGCAAATGAATTCCTGATGCTGACAAATTCCAGAGCAGAACAAGAAAGATCTGTAATCTAACAGAAAAACATGCAGGTAACTAAATGAAGGATTCAATGGAAACAATCATGATAATAAAGAAATGTCTGAGGGGAACCAGACTTTCTGAATTTTTCTAGGGGTATGAGAGCAAACATTTGAGGGCTACTGCCTTGCATTTATTCCTGCTTTAACACAGAGGCAGGCATTTGGGAGAAGAGAAAAATCAAAGGAAGAGCTTTTCAAGTGCTCTGCTTTTATTCCTCAGCGCAGCAAATCGCAGAGGAAAACTCACCCCCTCCCCACCCCATCAATGACAACTCATGGCTGCCAGGATCGACGATGTGTGTCAATGAAGAACTGTGCGTCACAGGGTTCTTAGTGTGGATCGCCAGGCCTTTCTCCCAAAGCCTCTCTAGCTTTTTGGTTAGCAGCCATGCAAGCTAACTCTTTGCACCACCCAGAGACTCCAGGGAGAAGAAATACACCGTTTTTGAAGAAATGTACATCCAGTCCTTGGTAAACCTGCTCCTTGCTAAATGCCCACTCGCTTTCTGGACATGCTGGCACTTTCACCCCACGACCCCTACCGAGTGGCGGAGTCCACCAGTTTGTCACACAGGACATCCTTCCCATCAGAACGCATCCTGCTGTGAAGTGGCTTCGCTCCTGTGTGCTCACTTTATCATCCTACCTTCACACCAAGCGGAGATGCCATGAAGGCAACTCCCTTGAAAGCCAGTTCCCCGGGATCTTGATATCCCTTTAAGCCCTCGGTGAGATGTCTACACTTTAAGAGAGATTTATTTCGTATTCTGACTTGAATGGAAACACACATTTGTCAAGTGTCTGCTCTTATGGAAAAAGTACGTGGAGGGAGGCACTCCCACCACCATCTCTGAGACGTGGTCTCCAAACTCAGGCCCGAGATCAAGAATCCTGATGCTCCAGAGAAACCCTACAGTCACCACTCAGATCTCCCTCCCCTTTGTTCTCCACACAAATCCTAGAAACACTATCTTGTTCACTTCCCAGCCTTGATGCCATAAACATATAAAACCTCTATCTCTCTCTCTCTCTCTCTCTCTCTCTATATATATATATATATATATATATGTATACATATATATCGCATGTTTCTTCATACACACACACACATATCCATATGGTTTCCTGGTTTCAAAAATGTTAGCATTTCAGGGAGTTGCTGACTAGCCAGTCACATCTCATATATAATAAAACATCAAACACTACGTGAATATATATACGCCAGGCCTTTGCATGAAGCACCTCACTTAATCCCCAACCAGCAATCCTGGACGACAGGCATCCTTCTTCCCACTTGGTAAAACAGACTCATAGCTTCTTCCCACTTGGTAAAACAGACTCACATAGCTATCTCAGGTTCAAACTCAAGGTTATTCATTCATTCAAAAACAAGTTTTAATAATGTTAGGGTGTGCCAGGGGCCCATGTAAAAGACTGGAAACAGGGTAGCCAGTCAGACAGAGACCTATTCTTGGACATCTTATATTCTACAGAGGAAAAATTCAACGAGCGGTTGTACTGATGCCAGCCAGTCTGCTAGCCCATCTACCATACTCTGGTAAACCCTGCATTCCCTGAGACACATGAAGAAGGCACATGTGGTGACAAGATGGGCTCTGAATCCGTGGGCTATGACTGAACAACCATGATCTGATTGTAAATCATGATTCTACCATTTTCTAGCAATGAACCTTGGGCAAAGTCCTAAATCCATCCCGGCTTCCATTACCCCGTACCCTGGGATGACCGTTCCTCAGCTTCCAACTCCAGGCCCAAACATCACCTCCTCTGGACCATTCCTGACTACGGAATCTAAAGTGAGCCTCTCATCAACTCCTCCCCGAGTTATCTAACCCATTATCCTACAACTCTGTGTAGCAACTAGAACCTCCTTGTTGCCTTCTGCAGTTGATTCCTCGCCGCTTCTCCTGAGGTTCAGGAAATGTGTCTCACTCCAGACTATCTTCCAGCAGCTAGTAGTAGTCCTGACCCTCAAAGTATCCTCATGACAAATCTGTTAAACGAGTAAGTCAACCAGGCTAACTGAACAATGCTTCACAACCCTTAACTAAGTGGTTTTTCAGGAGTAGACCAAGTTTACTCAGGTTATAATGGCATGAGTTTGATGAACTTACCTAACTGATCTGATCTAAGTCCAGCCCATGGGTACTTTTGTCCTACTGAAGGATTGTATGCTTCTGACAGATAGGAATTTTTCCACAGAAAGTTTCTCTGGTATTCACTCAGCCCCTGGAAATAGCAAGCACAATGGGAGTACCATGTGATCAATAAACACTTTTTAAAGGTACCTATTAAGATCACTCCTGAGCTTCCAAAGAAAGAGAATTCGAAAACAGATAATTAAACACAGAAGAGGTCCTTCATAACAGCTAATATTTACCAAGCCCCATGCTAAGCCGTTCACGTGCATTGTCTCCTTTAATCCTCACACCCAAACCACGCAGATGCTAGCAGGGATCGGGAGGCTCTGAGAAGCTACTTTCTGATGGATTGCCAAAGCCTGAGCTCTTGTCTGGAAACAGGTGACAGGAGAAACTAACCACTAGATAGTATCCTAATTAAATGCTCACCCACCTAGTACGCACTATTACATATTATACCCAGTGCCCAACCACACACACACACACACACACACACACGCACACACGCACACACGCACACACGCACACACGCACACACGCACACATTCTGCAAGCAAGCCTGCAAATAAAGGGATGAGGTCCTGGGAGGCAGTGGTTGGCCACCTGTTGTGTGGAAGGTTGCTAAGCCCTGGGAGCTCCCTGGAACTGTTCACAAATCTTTAAAAAAATGCACAAAAATACGGTTTTTCTGTTTTTGTTTTAATCCTCCGTCTTAACTAAACACGTGTTTCTCGAGACTTTAAAACACAGACACGCTTGGAGATTTTAAAGAGGTGTTCAACGCTAGACCGTGAGACGGGCCAGCTGAGTTCCAATCTAAAATCGCATTTAATTCTCTTTCTGCCCCCACATCCTGTACACCCCGCCAAAACACATCTGGATGATTCGCATCTACCGCTCCCCCATTAGGTAGAGACCTAGGTGTGGGGAGGCGAGCATCCGCCAGGACCGCGCAGACTCCGCGGGGCCGAGGGGCGCTGTGCAAAGCCGGCCTGGCCCCGCGCCCACCCCCGCCCCGACGCGGCTCTCCGGGGTGACCAAGGCCCCGAGACCCCCGGCCTCACCTTGAAGCGCACCGGCATGTCGCCCAGCTCGGACGCCCCCGCCACTCCGACAGTTAACGGGACAAAAAGCCCCGGGGGGCGGGGCGACAACAGTTGGTTCCCTAGGAAAAACTCCGGCCCGGCGTCCCAGACTACGCGCCGGCGCACTCTGCGCTTCCCGCCCAGCGGCCCGTCGCTCTGCCATTTCCCGCCCACTTTCTAGAGTAAGGGCCAATAGAGACTCGGAGAGTCGCTGGCCTTTATTAAAATTCTACCAATCAGGGCTCGAAAGGGAGACGCCCTCCTCCCGTGCCAAATCCGGAAGGCCGGTGGGAGGTCGGGAGAGGAAAACTGACCAATGAGGCGTTCAGACGCGGGTGGGCGGGGCTCGCTTGTCCTCCGTGCGGGCGAGGTTCGAAGGTTCTCTGTGAGGCGGGATCCGGCGCAACAAAGGGGCTGCGTTCTGCCGGAGTTGTGTGGCCGCTGTTCTTAACGTCATGAAATATGTGTGTTCTTTATTCCAAACAAAGCCGACGCCGGCTCATAGCGATCCTATTGCACAGAGTAGAGCCTCCCATGTGAGTTTCCAAGACTGTAACTCTTTATGGGAGCAGAAAGCCCGATCTTTCTCCCAGGGAGCTGCTGGTGGTCTCCAACTGCTGACCATGCAGATCGCAGCCTAATGCCTGGCCACTACGCCACTCGGGTCCCTCTTATCCCATTGAAGGAGTGGGATGTATGAATCTTGAAAGACAAACAGCTCTCTTTGCAATGATGTTCTTTCTCTCTGTTAATTTCCCAGGTCCCCCGCCAAAAAAAGATATATGTACAACATTTAAATTAGTAAGCATTTATTAAAGATGGTTTTCAGGCTCAACTCACCCACGTTTAAAAAGTAGACTTCCGTCAGCTTTACATCGACTATTGCTATTATCAAGAGCCGTGATGGTGTAGTGGGTTTTGTGTTGGTCTACAAACCACAAGGTCAATTGGTCAAACCTACCAGTCACTCCCTGGGAGAAAGATGAGGCTGTTTACTCCCACGAAGATGCAGTCTCAGAAACCCAAAGGGGCAGTCCTACCCTGTCGGATTGGGTCGTTATGAATCGACTCAATGTGATTGCCATTGTCAAGGAGGTGTGGTTGCTTAAACATTGGGCTAATAACCCCAAAGTTGGTGGCTCAAACCCACCAGCTTATTCAGCAGGTAAAAGATGAGGCTGTCTCCTCCTGTAAAGACTTACAGTCTCAGAGCCCTAAGGAGCAGTTTCTACCCTGTCCTATAGCGTTATGAATTGGAAACACATCAAATATTACTTGAGATTCTACCAATGGCAGGACATAAGCAGACCATGAAGATTGTGAAGAAAAAAACTATTGTCCTAACAATCCCAGAAGCCCTAAGGATCAGTTCAACTCTCTTCTGTAGAGTTGTTATGAATTGGAATCAACTGATGGAGGTGGGATTACCATCATTATCAAACATTTCTTGAGATTCTTCTATTGGCAGAACATGTGGTGACCCTGAAGATTGTGATGAAAGAAACTATGTGTCCAGCTTTGAAGTATAATTGGGAAAAATAAACACTTATTCAATAATATTAGAATATATAATAGTATGATAGACCATATAATAAAATGTAATAGAGTAACATAGTTATTGAATAATAGTATAATCAATGCATTTGAACTGTGGTGCTGAAGACGAATATTGAAAGTACCATGGACTGCCAAGAGACATATCTCTTTTGGGGAAAATACTGCCAGAATGCTTCTTAAAGACAAGGATGGAGAGACCCTGTCTCATTTACTTTGGACATGTTGTCAGGAGAGACCAGTCCCTAGAGAAGGACATCATGCTTGGTGACATTGAGGGGCACGGAAAAAGTAGAAGACCCTCAATGAGGTGGATTGATACAGTGGCCGCAATAATGGTCCCAAACATGGGAACGATGTGATGGTGGCACATTACTAGGCAGTGTTTTGTTCTGTTGTGCTTACAGTCATTGAATCAGAACTGACTATTTGATGACAGCTAACAACAATCATGTATAAAGAGCCCTGGTGGTATAATGCACTATGCATTGAGGTGCTATTTGCAAGGTCAACTGTTCAAACCCACCAAGTGAGTTGCAAGAGAAAGATGAGGCCTTTCTGCTCCCATAAAGATTTAAAAGCCTCAGAAACCCCAAGGGGCAGTTCTACTCCGTTCTATAGGGTTGCTACAAGTCAGAATCGACAGCGATAAGTTTGTTTTCTGTTTTTTATTTGATTGGTTGGTTCTTTTTAGTATAATGTGTGCTAAATTCCCATGTGCGAGGTATAAATGCTAAGGGTAATGGGAGTTTGGAGGTAGGGGTCACTCCTGGGACAGATGAATGGAAAAAGCTTCAGGAAGAAGCACTCAGACTCATCCTTGAAGATCAGAAGAACTTCGGTTTCAAAGAAAGAAACCTACTACTGTCAAGTAGATTCTAAGAAGAGCTTCAATAAACAGGCAAATGGGATGATCAAAGGCCAGATGTCTGACTGGAATGCTGCCAGGTTTCGTCCAGAAACAATGAATTCAGTACCTTTTGCTTTTGTCATTAGTTGACTGGATAGGAGCATCCCCACCTTTAAACCTCCACACATTAACACAGACCCTTGATGCATTTTCTGCAAAGGCTTGTGTTCCTGAATACTAATGGATCTCTCTGTTCTTCTCTGTCACTAGTGAAGATGCTTTAAAATTCACTTGAAGGAGCTACCTGATCTCTGCAACAAAGAGAATACTAAATAGTCCCCAAGCAGCCATGCATCCAGGGGTCCCTTGATAAATGTTAACCGATGGTGACAGCATCTCTGTTGTGTATATTAAGAAGGGCACAAACAAGAACATGAAACAAAAGCGCCCTCTAGGAAGGTAGCCAGATATTGCAGAACAGGAGACACTGCTCTGGTACACCTAGTTTTGTTACCTCATAATTATTCTGAGGTGAAAGTGGCAGAGAGAACAGATGGTAACCTGTCTGTTCAAAGAGGACAATGGTAACTGCAGTTGAGCAATTCTGAGCACAGGATAAACAACCATATCAACAAAAGGATTGTACGGTGACCTGGCCATACCTAGGTTTGCTAAAGACAGGTTATGAGGGCTTGAAGAAGAACATTTTACCTTGTGGATTTTGGACTAAGGTCTACCCCAGTGTATGAAGCAAAGATGGAGAAATGAAAAAGGGGGCAAGCCTAATGAGAGTTTTTGTCACCTTTATTTTACCAGCTCTTATCCTCTCTTCTGGAAAAAAGCAAAAAACCAGAGCCAACAGCCTAAAAAATCCCATCCAATTGTTTTGGGGAGTCCTCAGATCAGTGGTTCTCAACCTTCCTAATGCCACGACCCTTTCATACAGTTCCTCATATTTTGGTGACCCTCAACCATAAAATTATTTTCGTTGCTACTTCATCACTATGATTTTGCTACTGTTATGAATCAGGCAACCCCTGTGAAAGGGTCCTTCGACACACACCCCGCCCCGCCCCCTGCACCCCTCCCCTCCTGGCATCCCACAGGTTGAGAACTGCTGCCTTAGATGTCTTAGAAGAAGTAGAGCCAGAATGCAGCCTAGAAGTGAGGATGTCAAGAGCTTATCTCGTGCACTTTGGACATGTTATCAGGAGGGATCAGCCCCTGGAAGAGATGGACAGCATGCTTGGTCAAATAGAAGGCCAACCAAAGAAAAGAAGACTCTCAATGAGATGGATTGGCACACTGCTCTAACAATGGGCTCGAAGGGAACAACGATGAGGCTGGCCAAGCCCAGCAATGTGGCCTTCTGTTGCACGTAGAGTCACTAGAAGCCAGAACTGACTCGATGGCACCTAACAACCTCAGCTTCTTCCATGTGTGATTACTACCACATATAGTGTGCCCATCAATGGGTCCTTATGCTAAAAGCCACATGTCTGGAGCTCTCACTGTTCCTGCTGACTACCAACTATTTGTGCTTGGTGCCCAAGCCTCCTTGAGCAGGGATAGATGCAGGAAGCTCCCTCCAATTGCCAGCCTCTGGCAAAGGACTTTTCTGGTGGCCTCTTTGAAGTGAGGCATCTCAGAGAGCATTTTCCATTTGTATGTTAGCCTTCTTCCTTTCCGCAAGCACTCTAAATGAACTCCATGGAATCTACATCAGAAGTAATTCCTCAAGACCCCATCCTGTGCTCATATGGTTCTCTCTCACTTCAGTCAAGGCCCTCTTATGACATGAGAATGTCATGCCAGGTTCCTGCTTCCCTTTGTTGATGTTTCTGTCTCATGCAAATAGATCCGTTTGTTGCCCAAGAGAGACTAAATGAGTATGACCTCTAGGAAGGGCAATTTGGCAATTCCACTTTTATTAACCTAGCTCACAAGTATTTCACACATTTGTGGTGGGGAAAAAATGTAATGCATTGTTGATAGTAACAAAAGGCTGGAAACAGCCCGCAGGTCCATCTGCAGGGGACGAGTTAAATCAATAGTACATCTGGGAGTCCAAAGCAGGAGCAGGCTTTACAGCAGGTCCAGACGGCAGGGCAGGCTGCTCCCTTCCTCTGGGACTGCCGATCCAGCAGATCCAGGTGGGTTTGGCCCCCTTTGGGTATCACATACTGCATTTGTTAAGGCCTAGCTTGGAAAACAGAAACCACACTAGAGATTTCAATAAAGAGAACTTAATTATAAGGTGGCTGGTGAATGAGTTATTGGAGAGCTTAAAAAAAGAAAAGAAGGCAGCTAAAAGAGGCAACAGGAAACAGCTAACAGCCCCCTAACGCAGAGAGAACAAAGGGCAAATGATGAGGTCACAAGAACCAGGTGTTTGCAGGAGAGGCCTTTTGGAGTGGATGGAATCTCTGAGAAGGACAGCCTGGTAGATGCTAATGTCTCACCAAAATATGAGGCTGGTTCTGAGAATGGCAGAGTAAAAGAAAAAGTAAAACCTGGAAATTACAACCATTGCCATCCGAGGGTTAAAAACGCCATTGCTATGGGAATTCTAAGAGGAACAGCACGTAAAACTGATCGTTCCAGTCTCTCTCTTGTGTCCCCTATTAGCAGACCTAACAGAGAACCGCCGCAGGGTGTAGAGTCCCAGCCCCAGCATTAC